ACCAGACTTTCCGATTTCTCATTCCGAACACACAGATTACAGAAAATATTTTTATGCTAGCCAAGAAATGAACTTTAGAAAGAGAATTTTGAAGTTTGTCTGACCTTGACGTTTAACATCTTAAAAAAAAAAAAAAAACAACTATAAAATTAAAAAATGTTCTGTTAAGTTTTGCGAGATAAATTTTTGTACAAAAAAAAAAAAAAAAAAAAAAAATGGTCCAAAATAATAAAGTATCCCTTAAAATCTCAAGGACATCCAAAGTACTTGTGGGTTATTCTCCCTCTTTTTAGCTCTTGCTTCCAGATGTAGTCGAACGTAGAATAAAAACGCTGCTGGCGATCCGCGTTCGCCTCCTTGGTCCTCCTTTGACTTTTGAAATTTTTATCACACATAACCATGTCTATCGGACAAAGTAACATTATATTTAAATTTTAATGTTTTTTTTTTTATTTCATTACATTTGTGTACACATGTATTTAATAAGATGCATTGTCGTTTGTATTCATTGGTTTGCGTATTTATTTATTTTTTTTTAGCAGGACTCATGCCGAGTCTGCCAATATATTATTTGCTTGCAGGATAAATAGTTCCAGGAGCCCATAAATATTTAAAATGCCAACACATCACAACCAAAGAGGTGATGCCCGCAACATAACATTATAACCGAACACAAACTAGTATCCTGCAGCATAAATTTAATGGAGTTTCGAGTGACGTGGGGTGGGGGGGAGAAGATCGGCCCATGCCTAATTCGAGCAGTCTTTGTAAGTAAAATGGTAAATATAAAGCATTCACGAAATAAAGCTCAAAAAAATATATTTTCATATAAAATCTTTTTTACACATCTGTATTTTTGATAAAGTTGAAAAATTAATTTAAAAGTGGCAACAGATAAAAACCACAATAATAGCCTTTTTTCTTTCAACTCATATTTCGAGCCGCATTTAGAAGAAACGCATTCGAATTTTTTTTTCTCTCCTCCACCCGATAAGCAAAATAAAAATTCCCACCGAAAATGTTTTTTCTCGTAAATAAGAACTGAAATTTCAATTTAGGATATTTAAAGCTCCCAAATACAAGGAAAATATAATTTTTTTTTAACTTCTGTGACCATTTTCCTTTTCATAGCTTGTCGCTAGTTTTCGTTTATTTCTTGTAAAAACAAAAGAAACTAAAATACTCCAAACGATTTTAAAACATTCGTAGTGTCTCGTTCAGGTAATTTATGTACAATGTAAGGGAGTTAAATCAGTATTTAAATCGTCTTACAAAAACAGTTAGCTTCTTGAAGATTTTGCACAATGTAAAAAAAAAAAAAAAAAAAAATTATCAAATATTTCTTGAAATGCCAAATTGTTGTGCGTTCAAATTAAAATACATTAAGGTCTGAGACGTTTTTAGCGTAAAAATGTTTTAAATGTATTTCTTTATCCGACATTATTCATTATACAGTTTATTTTTCTACTCATTTAAGTTACTATATTTTTTGTTTCATTTTATTTTAAAACAGTGAACTTAATAACAGGCCCAGATTGAGAATTCCTAAAAAAAGATTGTGCCTTCAACAGGAATGGAACCTGTAGCCTCCTTTTTGTATAAGGTTTGAATTACCTAAGGAAAAAAAAAAAAAAAAAGCATGTATCGGCTATAGAATCAGTTTCTCTGATGGAAAGGGAGGATACGAGTTTGATTCCTGTCGGAGTCGCAATCTTTCTGTAGGATTTCTCAATCTACGCCAATTGTTAATTTAACTATAAAAACTTTACAATTTCACTTGGGTTGTAAATTTAAAAAGATATTCAACATTCCGGAGGGGGGCAAACCGTGGCTCGCGAAAATATGTTAGCTGAGTTCCTTTTTTCATTACAATTTAATAAAATAAATAAAAATAAATGTAATTAAGAAAATTTTCAAACTTTTTCAAATTTTTTTTTTATTGGGTATAAATTGAGACCACATTGAATTAAAACGTAATGGTTAATAAAATATCCAAGAATTTAAATCCTAATTTGAATGAGATCCGAGTTAGGCATTGTTTTTTAATGCTGGAAAAAAAAAAAAAAAAAAAAAAAAAGAATGGTGGGTAAAAGAGATTAAAGAAATTTCCGGTCAGCAAGGGTTACAGTGGAATGTCAAGACTGAGATCATGGGTGAGGGAATTAGAGATTTGGGTGCGCTGGGATGGAGTGACAGGGGCCACATGTGGCTCTCAAACTTCTAAACTTCAGCGTATATGGTTTTATCATGAATAAATCGGTTAACTAGTGGTGCAATTCTCATTTCTAGTAATGAGAAGTGCTTTTACTTAGAATAAAGCAAAAGTGGACAATACCTCTATTTTTTTTTTGTTTATTTTTAATGATTTTAAATTTTATACCTCGAAAACGTATTTCGAAACTTTCATTTTGAGGAAATGACAACTACACTTGCCACGCTTTTTTTTTTTTAAGTATCGTCATTTTACGGTTTATTTTTTTCATAATTAAATGTCAATCCATGAAAAAAACAAATTAATTTCATTAGACAGACGTTTCTGAATTTTCACCTCCAAAAGCAAATTAACGCGAAATACTAGCGTCAGTGCGAGTTCTTAGTTTTTCTGTATAAAAAAAATATTAAAATAAAAGGTGCTGCACTACACGAACTCTAAGAGTATAGGTAATCATTTTCAATTAATACTGCTCAAACCATGAGAAAATATGACTAAAGAAATGAACAGTTTTGCAAATACAGACTTGTCTACCAGTACAGTCAACTCAAAAATGATAGCAATTGTTCGATAGTTTTATGGAGATTCAACAGAGCGAATATCCAGAATTCACAACTAAAAGAGGCTTTTGAATTAACCAGTTCCCTTAAGTTTCTTGAAGACATTAAAGTTCAGAATTCACAACTTCCACTGATGCGGTTACCCAATTAGTTTCCTTATTGCTACTTATGAGCGTTTAAGTGAAATCATAAGATTTTTGAACCCTTCGACCTAAATAATTACACAGCGTAACAAGAAAAAAAAAAAAAAAAAAAAATACACAACGGTAATTAATTGTTCGAGCTTTCATTAAATCATTTCCAGCACTTGATTTGGAAAGCAAACACTAGAAACAGCATGCGGTTATTATGCATGGAATACAGTCTCCACGCCTAGTCGTCTATTAAAAAAAAATTAAATTGGAAACGCTGTATTTAGGCAACGGTCCTTCGTCTAAACAGGTTTTATTAAATAAAAGGAATTTCCATTAAGGGTTTTCTGGAGTTAGTTTGTAAAAAAAGTCGCTTGTGTCGGGTATAAGCTTGGAATAGTCATTTAAAAAAAAAAAATCGATATTTAAGAAGCAATTTCAACAACTATCTCAAAATAAAATGTTCCCATGCCGTAAAAAGAACCGAACTATGTTCTTGCATAGACAAGTGCTTCCCCCTTAACCATTAGTTTCAGATTTTTGTCTAGTGACCATTGTAACTGATAATTTTACGAAGAAAAAGTTTTACGAAACGACTTTCACTTGTTATAATTTATAATATAATCTAGATATAATGTTCATTTCTTTAATGTCTTTCAAAACACTTAAGTTCTTGTGTGAGCGAAAGAGTATCCATCGAAAACTCAAGTGTTCATATCCATAAAAGTAATTAAAAACTTCTATTTTATGATTAAGACTAGTTTTTCTTTAACGGGAGGTGGGGCGGGTCTTTTAAAAAAAAAAAAAATTTATATTTTTTATTACCGATTAAATGTTTTATTTTATAAAATTAAAATGGTGGTTAACACAACTCCGGACTTTCCTCTTAAGATTGAGTTTAAAAGTTGTATGTTCATTTTATTTTTTAGCGAATCTTCGGAGGTACCTAAATGCAACAGGTCAATGAATAAAGAAAGCTTACGAGAAATTACGAAGACATCAATCGGTAGGTTGCCAACAGTTTGAGTTCTATTCAGGTACACATTGGCTTAAACAGTTTTTACGAGAAAATGGTTGAAGACGGTGTTAAACGTTTAAATAAAGCCTGATCAAAAATTTTAGTTACCAATAACACTAAGGTTTAAACAAGAATTAGTAATATCATCGTTTATTAGCACGTGTATTCGTGTGGTGAAATGTGCGGACATGACCAGAGATAAAAAAAATAAAAAAAAAAAAAAAAAATGAATGAATTCACAGAAGTAAAGAAAAATACAATACGTATTTTTTGTACATAGTACATCCGGATATACAATGTTAGAAAAGTTCGAATCAGCTCTTGAAACAAGGACTTGAATTAACCGAGAGTCTTTTGTTGGGTTTTCTTTGGTAGAAGAACAGTTTGGATGTTAGGCAGAACGCCACCCTGAGCAATGGTCACTCCAGATAATAGTTTGTTCAATTCTTCGTCGTTACGGATCGCCAGCTGCAAGTGGCGAGGAATTATTCTTGATTTTTTGTTGTCCCTAGCAGCATTTCCTGCCAACTCAAGAACTTCTGCAGACAGATATTCTAGGACTGCAGCCAAATACACGGGAGCTCCAGCACCAACACGTTCGCTGTAGTTGCCTTTCCGAAGCAGGCGGTGAATACGTCCTATAGGGAACTGAAGTCCGGCTCGAGATGAACGAGTCTTGCTTTTTCCTTTCACTTTACCTCCCTTACCGCGTCCAGACATTGTGATTAATAAAATACACCAACACAATAATTATGCGAAAGAGCAAATCCTGCTTTTATTTCTTATTTTTTCTTCTTTTCTTTCTTCTTCTTTTTTAAATTATTTTTTTTTATACCATCATCAATTTTTGTTAAGTTAGATAATAAAAGAGAAAAAAATCCAGTAAAAAAAAAGTGTTTTTTTTTTTTTTGACTGCGCTGAAACAAGAAACATTATTAACCAATCACATTCTTTGTTACTGCTATATTTCAATGAACTGTTGCTAAACGTGTTTACCGCTAAGCAAATATTTATTAGCCAATCAGAGTGAAGTTCATCAATGTAGTAGCAGTATTGTTTTTAGTTTGTAGATTTGGGCGATGCCACCTAAAGTCAGCTCGAAAGGTGCCAAAAAGGCCGGGCAGGCTAAATCTGCCCGTACCGGTGATAAAAAAAAGAAGCGAAAGAGAAAGGAAAGCTATTCGATTTATATTTACAAAGTGATGAAGCAAGTTCACCCAGACACCGGCATTTCTAGTAAAGCAATGTCCATCATGAACAGTTTTGTGAATGATTTATTTGAGAGAATAGCAGCCGAAGCCAGTCGTCTAGCCCACTACAACAAGCGCTCAACCATTACCAGTCGTGAAGTGCAGACTGCTGTCCGGCTTCTTCTGCCTGGAGAACTGGCCAAACATGCTGTCTCCGAGGGAACCAAAGCAGTTACCAAATACACCAGTAGCAAGTAAATTAAAAAAAAAAATAGCTGGTCTTTGATGGGAACTCCTTCACTCTTTTCTTCTTACAAATAACTTCTTACACACGATCTAGAATAATATAATTTTTTTCCCAAGCAAATCTTATTGAATTTTTTAAATCTTATATCTATACGCCTTATTGAGGCTAGAAAAAAAGATGTAATATAATTTATAAATGTCACTCAATATAAAATTTTAACATCACACCAGTTTTTCTTTTTATTTACTTTGTACTTTATTCTGAAAAAAATAAGATTGTTTTAATTCTAAGCCAAATTAAACTGTAATTTAATGTCTGACTTTAAAGTTTAAGTCGAAAATCCTAAAACTTTTAAATGTGGTCATGAACCCTGCGTCGTTACTTGGTTTTCAAATAATTTGAGTTCTGTAGTCTCGTTTGAAATGTTGCCTCTCTACCGATTGGTGAAAAGAAAAGTGTAGCATGTTTTTACCAGCTTAAATATCTGATAATCTGATGTTCAATAGGAACACATACACATATATACACACACACATATCTATCTATCTCTCTCTCTCTCTATATATATATATATATATCTATATATATATATATATATATATATATATATATATATATATATATATATATCATCTCTATATATATATCTATCTCTATATATATATATTCTATCTATATATATATATATATATATATATATATATATATATATATATATATATATATATCTCATATATATATATATATATATATATATATATATATATATATATATATATATGGTGGACTCACCCGTCCCGTTGTATTCAACGTATGAGGGTCAAGCAGTTCAGTTCCTAGGAAGGAACTGAAGGGCCAGACACCAACACCAGATTTGATTTTGGTGGTGAAGGCATTGTTCAGAACCAACTACACTTTTTGCAGGACCAAATGCAGAGACCCGTTGCACTACGTGCCACAAGGGCCCCAAACGACCTTCCGCATGTTTTGAATTCAGAGTTGTCCTTCTCCTAATCTCCGTACAGGAGGAAATTTTACAAATTTCTTTGGAAACTTTCAATGTTGCCCTGAAAATAGACAGCTTTTGTCCTGAAATTCGTTTGCCCACATGTCCGCCCCACTACTATCTTGGGGGAAAAAAAATTTGTAATGAACTTTTGTATATTCACATTCTTTAGAATTTCTTTAAGCCACAACACTTAACAGAATCGAGAAATATTGATTTATTTTTTATATTTTTTTTTTTATCGATTTAGAAGTGTAGTCCCATTCATAATATCGATATTGTGTCAAACCCACTCTCTGAATTTTACAGAGTTATCGGAACTCAATTGTTTGTCTACAAATATCGTACTTTGTACTTACGTCATTGATATCTGCATATTTTTACCTTTTTTAATTTATGAAAATTTTGTTCTTTAAAAATGTATATAAGCGATTGTTCTTTAATTAAAAATGAACTCTGTTTTGTAAAAAAAAAAAATATTAAAAAGTTTCACCCGACAAACAATTGCTTGCTTCGAATGTGTTAGTTAGTTTGCGTATAAATGCGTTTTTGATCTTTAATTAAAATAAAAATGTATTTCTGTTCTTAAATGACAAATATTTTATTAAATAAAATGAAATTGCTTGTTTATTAAATTATTTTTTTTAAAATAAAACTTCCAGTTGTTTTTTATTTAAAAGAAAACTTTTTTCAAAATTAAGTTTTCTTTTTCTTTTCTTTTTTTTTTTTTGTCAATGACGTAAGCACAATTAAAAACTTGATATTTGTAAAACAAATAATTGAGTTCCGATAACTAAATGTCAGAAATCGATTTTTAACAATATCAATATTATGAACAGAAACACCTTTCTCAACCGATAAAAATGAATATTTTTCAATTCTGATAATGGTTGACAGTTGTGGCTTAAGAAGGTTTACACAAATTATTTTTTTTTAATTTTCCCCGATGTTTTTTTTTTTTTTTTTTTTTTTTTTTTAACTAGTGGACAGTCTAGCAGTAAATTCTTAAAAACAATTTGATTCATTGATGTTCAGAGCGAGCGTTTTTCTTTCGTTCTTTTTCTTCTTTATTCTTTTTTGTTCTCTTTTTCTTTTTTCCTTTTTCTTTGTGTTCTTTTCTTTTTTTTTCTTTCTTTCTTTTTTCTATTCCTTCTTTTTCTTTATTTTTCTTTTTTTTTTTCCTTTTTTCTTTATTTCTTTCCTTATCTTTTTTTCTTTCTTTTTATGGCTTGATTAATGGATCAATTATTCTATTTATAAAATACTAGCAGTAGAGCCCGGCGTTGCCCGAGGATGTAACAGTAAGATAGATCAAGTATCGACCATCATAAAGAGTAAAGACTGAAAAATAAAATTGACAAAGATTATTGTTTAAGGTTGACGGACACGCATGTCTTAATTAGTTTTTTTTTGTTTGTTTGTTTTTTACGAATTGGTCAAACCCAAACTCAAACAAAAACATTGTTTTCAATCGTTATGAGTCTACCGATTGAATAGAATTTTATTATAAACAATTGTCTTGTAAATGGAATTTTTAAAGCATTCTGAATGTAAAAATAAAGAAAAAAAAGTGTGCAAGACAATAAGGGCCGGTACAAGGGTCTCGTACCCCCCAACAAATCTGTTACGCCCACCGTCAATCACTCTATTACTACATCTCAATTTTCATAAAGTAGTATTTAAAATAATACAAGTCTATTGTAACCTACAGTAATGAATCATATGCAATATAGGTGAACAATTCAACTAAAAAAATTGAAAATAAATACAATGTATCTAAAAATACAAATTAGACATATAGGTCATTTCATCTTAAATAAATCAATGTTTTGCGCCTATTTTTAACATCAACTTGAAAGTTTTGTTAAAATGTTGAATAATTTTAACACATTCAATACTATAGATAAAAAATATAGTGTTTTTCCGAGATTTAGTATGAGTAAGACAAATTCACGGATTTGAACGAGAAAAAAAATTATATTTTTACAACATAGTAAAAACTGATACAATTAAAACTAATGCAATGCACTATTTATCAATTTATAAACAAAAAAATATGAAAATTTTTCATTCATAAATTTATAAACTTTTACTAAATTATTATTAAATATGTGAACAAACTAAGGAAATTCTTATTTCCCATTTCATAAAGTTCGCATCAGTTGGCAGTTAGCCAGTGCTTTGCCAACCATTTCAATAGATAATATAATAAATAGTTTATTATTTTTGTTTAATTCTCAAGAAAAAAAATATGTAAATTCACTTTCAGATTTTACAATTCTAATCATCGCTTTTTAAAAGAATAAACATTGCCGAGGAGGGGTGATGGTAGTTAAAAATAATAGCAGTGTCAATGGAAAAAACATCATTTTAACCGAACGCTTTAGTTTTTTCTTGTTGGAACGAAATTCCATGTTTTTTTTTTTTGTTTTTTTTCTTTTATGCAATCGGGTATAATTGCAAGATAAAAAAAAAACAAAAAAAAAAAACAGTCATTTGTACTTCTTATATTTGATGCTACCCAACAAAATAAAATTCCCTACCATCACACATAGTTTCAGCTATTTCTTTTGAAAATATTCCAATGTGTTTTCAACATCCAACAAGCTAGTGATGACAAAAAATCTACACTGTATTTGGTGTAGTGTCCATTATGCATATAAAAATTAAACATTCCCATTATCACCTTGTTTAATATACGAAAGTAAAAATAACTGACCAATCAGTGATGACCGAACTGATGACATTAGTAAATAGTCTCTATATAACACTAGAGCTTCATAACATTCACTTCACTGAATAGGAGGAGGGAAAGAGGGAGAGAGAGAGAAAAAAAAACACACACACACACTCACATACACACACACACACACGTGTGTATGTTTCTGAAATGGTCAGGGGTATTGAAAAGTACAAATTAATTATTCTTTAAGCTATAACAAAATACGACCAAGCGAAGTAATTAGTAGAAAGTTTCTACTATTTAATTAATTACTACTAGAAACTAGTTATTAGTAAATGGGAATATAGTTGCGTATGTATGTGTGTGTGTACTTTTTATGTTAAATTCCCTAAACTTATGGGCAGCAGCCCAGATATATATACATGCATAAACAAAAAGGCACTGAAAAGATTTTAATCGGACCAAGAAGTTTTTACCCACATTAAAATCTGATATTTGGCCAGATTTTGAAAAGCGGATTGTGCCAACAACTTTAACACCTTTTCATGTGTACATAACACACACACACACACACATAAGTACCTATGTACACACACACATATTTGAAGCTTAGAACAAAGCAGGTTGGAATTCCACTCGAGTCCCTTACATTGACTTCGGCGCAAATGGCCTTTGGAAAAGTTACGGATCCATCTGTTTTTTGGCTCTTTAACCTTGGTTGGTAAATAGTCTAGAAAAGGGAATCTGTCTTCAGTTCTTCCAAAAAGTGTGGATGCCTTCAACACTAGAATCAAATTCAAATCCTATCTGAGGAGGAATCTGGCTATTCAGTTCGAGGAGATGAATTGTTGGATATCCACACGTTTATGACGTAGAAGAGTTCATTTATAATAAAAAATTATACTAATTTATTTCTATCTATCTATCTATCTATCTATCTATCTATCTATCTATCTATCTATCTATCTATCTATCTATCTATCTCTAGAGAGAGAGAGAGAGAAAGAGAGAGAGATAAATTGTATAAGTACTTTAAAAACATGATAAACTGGAAAATGTTTGTGGCGTGTTTCATCCGTTAAGATTTTATCTAACTTGAACTTTGTTGATGTTGCTGTTTGTGTGTGTGCCCTTGTCTGTGTGTGTGCTAAATAGTTGTTGGCGCAATCTGCTTAGAGAAAATGGGTTTTTATTCGATATAATTTCTTATTATTATTTATGTGGCGGAATTCCAAACGTAGTCGGAGTTATCAATGAGATCTCGCATGTCTAGGCCTCTCACCACATTTATTTAATTTTTGTTTAGGAACCCAAACTGATATGAAAACAAAGGACAAGGCAAAGGTATCAATATATATATTAAATATATATTCAACAAAGCGTATAATAAATATAATATATACGAAAAAAAGCATGCAATGAAGAATCAGACGAGAGTAGTCTCTCTTTGACTATAAAAGTTTATCAATGTTCTCCGAAAAGGAAATAAAACAGTTGTTAGTTGTTGCAAGAGGAAAATTATGTAAGTGATAGAATATGTAATTTGAGAGTGAGTGAGAAGATGGGACGTGGATTCCAGTAGCAGTCGAAGTCTCACTATATTTATTGTACGTATACTGTACAGTGTACAAATGCGACACAAAGTCAAAAAAGGGAAAAGGGACGGTCATCAACTGCCTTAACAAAACATAGCTAGTCAGAATCACTGACCCAGGCATACAAACAATATTCCTTTCACCAAAACAACGCATTTTTACTTACAAATTCTTACCTCAACCACTATAATGCCTCAGAAACTCTATGAAGTCCTAAACTAGTCCCCATATTTACAATTCATTGTCTGTGGTGGGAAGGGAATAAAAATAACAATTTAAAAATCTAAAAAACCCAATGATTATTTACATATATGTACAAAACTATATACAAGAAAACTAAACAAAATTTTGTTAGTAAAAAACCCCACAGCCCTAATGTGGTAGAAACATCAGTTAACTGGACGAAATCAATGCGGGACTTTAGAAAACTAAAATATTCGTACAAAGCCATGTACACAAACAAACACACACACACACACACACACACACACACACACATTTAAACACAACAAATTCAAACACAACAACAAATATTCGAAACTGAAACAAAAGGCGCCACGCACCCACCAGAGAACTGATATCACTAACCACCTAACGATGGGAATGGGGAATTAAACAAAAGAAAAAAATAGGGCCAGAAATAAAAGGGCCAATGAACATACATACCCTAGCTAAGTTAACATGAAAAGGAGAGAAAAAAAAAAAAAACAAAAAACCGACCTAAACTAACCTATACACGGGAAGGGTTGCCAATGTTCAACCCAGCAATCCCAAAATTCTTAATGCCTAACCGGCATCAAAATGCCACTCCAAGTCAGCACCTTTCACTTCGGCAGAGACGCACAAGACTCACCCATCTTTCGCCAAATTCCAATGGATGGAGTCGTTTCCTTTCCGTCCTGATCTTGACTTTAAGCTGATGCTTAAAGAACAAGATCAGTTGGGAAGAGGAAAAGTTCTGGCGCCCATGAAATTCCTCCTGTCGCGTCGTCCATATCACGACTCGCATAACCCCCAGTAAGCAAAGGAACACATAGTGCTCAGCCAACATATTGCTACAGACGGAACTGGCCTCGAGGACAAAAAACTTTCCGCGCAGCATGCGAACCATGATGTCTTCAACAAACTTGCACAACGGAGCTACAACACTACAATGAAAAAAGGCGTGACCCAGGGTCTCCACCTCCCCACTGCAGAGCGAACGCAGTTTGGCGACTTTACCAAACCCGCCGCACAAAGTCTTTTGGCGACCCAGAGGGCCCCTCGAATCATCAGCCAGGTGAGTGATGCCTCAGGGTTAGGCCATATGCAGCGAGCGTCCCGCTTCGTCAGACCGAGCACATCCATCAAGGCATCCTGAACATTCCCCCTAACTAGCACCTGATAAAATGCCTTACGGAACAACAGCTGGACGTCAGAGAGGCCATCCTTCGCCCGTAAGAGTCGCTTGAGGGCAAGTCGACATTCACGATAGAAAGAGCACTTGCTTCGAGGCGTATGGCCGGCTTCCTCCTCACACGAGCGCACATTTCTCAAGGATGGAAAATTTTTACGGGCGTCTTCCTTCTAGAATTCGCCATTCTCGTCCAATTGCATGCACACCCGGTCTAGATAAGTAATGCGAAGCGTATGTCGACGAGTCTCAACGCAAGGAACAGACCGCCATCAGATGGATGGAGGTAACAGATATCGCGACAAATCATGGCGGCCTTGCCTCCCCACAAGAAGGAGAACAAGAGCCTTACAAACGCCAATAAAGTGTCAGACGGGAGTGGAAGCACGGGGAGTCGGTAAAGGAGAATCGGGTAGATGTGCGAGGCACATACTTCCGCCCTCCCCTTCAAGGAAAGATTCCTTCGAGTCCACAGACGAACTGCGACCTCGGCCTTCTCTTGCACCTCCGACCAATTCATTTCCAACAGGAGATCGGGACCGAACCAAACGCCGAGTATCTTGACCGGCCCGTCCGTCCAGAGGAAAGGTCCGAGAAGAGAAACTTCCTTCCACGAACCCAACCGCAAGCCAACAGACTTATCGCGGTTGATCTTGGCCCCTGTCACCATCTCATAGCCTTTGATTTCTTTTCTGACTTCGTTAATTTCGGCTCTGCTCGACACAAGAACCGAAACGTCATCAGCATAATCGGAGTACCTGGCCGAGGTGGTAGCACCAGGTAAGGAAATTCCGCGAAGGACCGGATTCGTCTTCAACTTACGCCAGGAAAGGTTCCAGCGCAAGAACGTACAGCAATGGAGACAGCGGACAACCTTGACGAATGGGAGACAAAATGAAAGGTTTTGATCTTACCCCATTCACTTCTACCAGCGCACGGGGGACGCATACAGAAGTCGGATCCAAGTGCGAAAGTCCGGCCCGAAACCGGCGGCCGAAAGAACAGCCTCCAAAAATTGATGGTCAACCCTATCGAAAGCCTTGGACTGATCTAATTTGATCAGCGCAGCAACCCTGTCGTCTTGCTCGATGATCAAGCGTACCAAATGAAAGTTGTCCTGAATAGTCCTGACCTTCACAGCACAAGTCTGTTCGGGACCAATCAGACTAGAGAGGACAGCCTGCAAACGGCCGGCTAAGACCTTGGCTAAAATCTTCAACTCTGCATTTAACATCGTCAAAGGCCGATAATTATCTACCCCATCCCCACCGTCTTTGCTCTTGCGAAGCAGCTTGATCACACCCCTGGTGAAGCGTTGAGGTATAGACCCCTGCTTCATCCAGTTGTTGAAAATCAGTGCCAGCAAGGGGACAAAGACGGGCGACTGCCTCAAGTACATTTCGTACGGAAAACCATCTAATCCCGGAGTTTTGTCCAAGCCAACCTGCTTCAATGCATCCCAGATCTCAGATTCTGTATTGGGATCCTCGCACCCAGCCGCTTCAGCCGCATCGAGGCGGGGAAAGTCGGCTATATAAGCATCGAACTGAGCAGTCTCCCTGGTAAATAGCTCCTGAAAGTAGTCACAGAAAGCCTCACAAATGCCCACGCCCTGTAGTCACAGTCCACTTGTCCGGCAATGTGATGCTAGCGGTATGCCGACGAGACGCCCTACGAGCTTCCTCTGCACGCAATGAAGCGGCCATATTCGTGGCCTCGCAAGACATTCTTTTTAGCCTAGCCCTAACTACCAGAGCTTGATCCTTCTTGATAAGCAAGGAGGCCAGCTCTGCCTTAGCTACGGCTACGTCCCCACTAACACGGGATTTAATCGCCCGATCAAATTTTCCCCACAAGACTTTTGCGCTGCTAACCCTTCTAGATTGAGTCGTCGACTAAAATCAGCAGCAAAAGACCTAAGTTTAGATTTCAAAGAATCCCACCAATTATTCCCAACCACAGCCCCGACAATTCCCGCTGTAACATTAGTAAAAGCTGGTTCTGGAAATCTTGCTCACCAAATAATGATGAGTCCAATTTCCAGTACCCAGCCATCTTAACCTTAGGCTTATCTAAGTTTACCCGATCCCGGACAAGCCTATGATCCGAGTGTAAAATAGAAACTTGGACATTCTAAGAGCCCTACGTTGACTCTCTTAACTAGAACTCGGTCGAGGTAGCTTATGCTCACCACCGAATCGAGCTGCCGCCACTAGGTCCAAGTCCATATTACCTCTCCCGGGGCGCTCATTTCGATACTTATCGACGAGATCAAACCCGTCGATAAAGTCTCGAAACGGCTTCACATCCGGATTGTTAGTACCCGCTTTTTTGCCCTATACGATCTATATCGGGATCAAGGACGGCATTCCAATTACCCGCTAGAACTACCGAACGAGATGTCGATATAAAAACGCTCTGCCAAAACAAAACAGGCCGCTGTGCAGTCATTGGGCGCATAAACCCCAATGAGACGAAGAGCCTTATCCTTTATGGTAATATCCAGCACGCAAAGCCTGCCCACGGATCCGCGAAGACAAAAAGCACACACCGCATCCAGAGACTTGCTCACCAGCCAGGAAACACCCTCGAGCGTCCATCCAAACATGCAATAGAGGACGAACCTCTTAGACAGAATGTCCTCATGATCGCGAGATAAAAAATAGGTCTCCTGTACACAACATACATTCACTCTCCGAGGCGCTGAAGATCGCGATCAAGTCTCGCCCTTCGCGACTCCGACCTCAGGCCCCGGACATTCAAACTTGCTAACCAGAGTGTCATTATCAGACCGAATTAATGGTTGGGACACTGGTTTGAACATGGTCGGGGTAAGGATACCGACAGCCTCTCCCATAGACCCATGGCCCATCTCAGCCTTGATGGTACCGTCTTGGGAGATTCCGCCTATATCCCATGGAAATGTCAGTTTAAGAGCTCTATAGAGGAAGGGTGAACTAAAACTGGGACCCTCCCAGCACAAAATTGTTTCATTCTTTTCAGTTTTCATTCTGAACTATAGCAATTGGTGTGGACATTTTAAAAGAGGCTATGGCTTCATCAAGCATGGCCCAAGCCTGGCCCAAGCCTGTTTAACCCCGTCCCAGTTCTCATAACAGTTAGCACTCTCTCCGCATTGGGAAAATTTTGGGGTCTTCAATATCTTTTTCTGTGAACTGCTTCATGGATAAAAGATATCTCAAGTCTTTAATTCGGTTTCCGTAATCTCGAGCTTTTTCAGCTTGGGCAGGGATATTCGGCATACATCTTCTCCTGGGTTGAAGATGTGCTTCTGCCTTTTCCTGTTAGCCATTGAGTCCTGCGGGGGGCTTCTAAGTCTTTTGATTTGGGGTGGGGGCATTTCTGGAGTTTTAATGGGAGAAAGACTGCGGTGTGACGAGGAGTATAAGTTTGTCTGAAAGGGCTGGGGTCTCTACTGAGAGGGGTTGAGGGATGGGAAAAAGATGTACAAGGAGTGGCAGGTAAGGACTTTTCTCTACAAAGAGGGGTTGAGGGATGGGAAGAATGAGATGGGTCAGAGGGTGTGGAGGAGTGGCCTTGTTTGTGGAGACGGTCTTGGGCTGACTGCAGACTGGGGAGACTGAGTTGAATGTGGGGCAGTGAATGTAGAGGGAGGTGCTTTGTTTATGGGGGAGGATTTTGTTTTTCGTTGCTAATTAAGCTTTTAATTTTTGGATTTTTTCCGTCTTCTCATATCCGGGATCATATTTTTTTTTAAAGATCTTTCAGGGTCTGTTTTGAGGCCGGGGCGTCGCCCTTACTGTTGACAGAGGGAGTGGGACTGTTAGTGTCTTTTTTGTCCCGGAGGCTTCAGGGGACTGAGGACCCGCTGTCTGACGCTTCCCTCTGGCCCTGCCAGCAACCTGCCATTCCCCCTCTCCCTCCCCCACAACTGCACTTGCAGCAGGAGAAGGCTCCTCGGGGAATGGGGGCTTAGATGTAGGCCCAACCGGGGGTTTAATCACTCCGGTCCCGGAAGCTGGCATGCCCATTACAGGCGAGGCGGATTTCAAAGACGCGGTCAGAGGAGGAGTTTGGTCAACTGGGGCCTGACTTCCAGAGGCCTTCTTCTCTGGGCAGGAAGAGGAGAGCTGACCAGTCTCTCCACACTTCCAACAAACTGGTTTACGGCCGGTCACTATGACCGGCAGCTTCAGGTCCCCAACATCCAGACAGTTGGGGATGGATATGAAGGCTTTACGGTCCAGCATGATGTCAAAACTCCACCCACTAGTCAAGCTATCGCAGGAAGAACCCCAAATTTCCCCGTACTGGGACAAGAAAGAAGATGTTCCCCGATAATTGAGGAGGGACCTCATATATTGCTACCCTGGTCCTCCTCCTGCCTTCATACTCTATTTGGAGTATCAGATCCTTTGTGATCAGATCACGGCTTATTCCTTTTACGCAATCTTCTTGTGTGGGTAGCAATACGTTCCACATGAAGAAACCTTTGCCCTTAACGATTCGAAGTAAATTAAACCCCAGGGACTCTTGTTATTCTACCACTGTGTCTTTCGTCGAACGACAAATTTTGTGCGTACGCTTGTCGACGACAAAGACCAACACTATTCTTTTATCAATCTTCTTTAGTTCAACTGGATCCTCCAAGAGCCCACCTTCTACCACAAAGTGTGCTTAACTCTTGGCACGTTCCAAGAACTCCGCAATATCGATGATACATTTTGGCGGGGACTTCCCCGGCCTCTGTGTTTGTCTTATCTTTTTGGCCATTATTGGCCTCCTTATTATTGGTTGGTTTTTTTTTTACCATTATTGGCCACCGTACTTTCACGGGTTTTTTTTCATGGCCATTATTGGCCTCCATACTTTTACATTGGTCCTCACTACTAACGGCCTCCTCACTAGAAGTTTCTAAAGGATGGTATTCATCTGGGTTGTCCTTGTCAGGAAGGTCTTTTGGGGGTTTAAAAGGTGTTTGTTCACCGAATTTCTAAAGTCGGTTATTTTAGTTTTCTTTTTTTTTTTTCAATATTAGGAAAGAAGGCACTCTTTTTTCTTTCTTTTCCATTTTTTTAAAAAGGGGAAGGGGAGGGGTGAGAAAAAAGAAATAGTTAATTAGTATCGCCTGAAGGCGAAAACAAACAAATCTCGTCCGAAAGCAAGACGGCGTGAAAAATAAAATGCCAAAAGATCAAGGTTCGCCGAAAGGCGAAACAAATTTTAAACAGTCAAAAAAAAGTCACAAAACAGACGGACGTACACAAAAAAAAGACTAGAGACAGAAACAAATGAACAAACTTCGCCTAAAGGTGAGACAAGTTTAAACGTACAAAAATAAAAGAGACCAGAACAAAAAATAAGGTTCGTTTAAAGGCGAAACAACAAATTTAAAACAGTAAAAAAAAGGAAAACACAAAACAGAAAGACGATTAAATAGACGATAGACAAGAATAAACAATAAAACGAAAAGCTATGCAAAGGAAAACGTTATAAAAAAATAGGAAACAATAAAATGCAAAGCTATTGACAAAACAAAGATGGCTGACGCTAAGAACGAGTCAACCCAATAACAAATGAAAATAAAAGAAAAAGTGGACAAATTATACAATATAAATACAAAAAATTAGAAAAAATATGGACACAAACTTTAAAACGGAAGACTTAATAGATATTTAAAAGAAAACAGACAATAAACGAAGTATAAAGTCAGTCGAAAGAAAGAATAATAAACAGAAAGTCTGGCAGGGGTTACAAAATTAAAAAACGGAAAAAATAAATTTTAAATGAGAAATTAAAAGTAAAAGAAAATCCAAAAGAAAATATAATATTAAAAGAATAAAAGCAAAATAAAGGGAAAAAATGGGGAGGGTAAAAAACTTTTGCAAAAACAGTCGTAAGAACGCAAGAAAAGACGGTAAAAAATAAATCAAACTTAACCAAAATGTAAATTACAGGTCCAAAAGAAACGTAGAATGTCAGGAAAAAGTTATGTGGTAAATACCAGTCAAGAAAAAAGTCACAGTAAGACGGTCGAAGTCTCACTGATGTTGGTCCTCTTTTGTTCTGTTTATATAGGTAGTCATCGAATTAGGAATCTGCGCGGGAAGAATCATTCTCCATCATGCAGAGAATCTGATTGGTCGATACTGACCAATCAGGGCCTGAGATTTGGAGAGACTTCTGGGAGCCGGTCCTCCCAAAAGTGCACAAAATTTACTATATGAAAATATAGCGATTTTAAAATTGTTGCTTCAGATAGCAGCGTTGCTTTCCGTCCAATGAATGAATGCTGTTAAAGATTTGAATTTGTAAGGGTGTATGTGTGTCTTGATGAAGATGCTCATAAGAATCCGCCCCCCCGAGATTGAGGATTATAACATAATTCTTCAATATGTCACATAGGAGCGATATTTAGAAGGCCAAATCACCTTCCTACCTGTTTTCAGGGCGTCAGAAACACATATATCTTAGTAACATTGTTGCGTCGTCTGGTCGATTAGGGTGTGAGCAGATATGTTCACGGGAGCGAGACGGGCTAAGAAATCAGCCGACAGGTCCCAGGAAATTTCGGACCTGGGGACAATGGTGAACAACCAGGGAAATGATCGTCTTAAAGACGATTTTAAGTGTCAGAGTTTGACCATGCGTCTCAATCTTGGTACCGTTTGCTGCAGAGGGGTATATGATTGATTCGCCAATTGCCAGGTTATCTCTGGATGTGGGTACACTGAGATAACTCCAGTATCCACCAAGAATAAAGAGCCTGAATTAGAATCCTTAACAAAGAAAAGACGCTTAGCTCGGGATCCCCAACAGCAGACGCCGTCTTCGATGCGCTGTTGAGGACGCCTTTTCCGCTTGTTTTTACAGCCAGGAAGGCCGACCGACAAATGGCAATGAAGTAAAATGTATTGTTCCAAACTTTTGATGGTACCAGCAATACCAGTGTTTGGGACTGATAGTGTTCGAATTAACGCATCCCCTGACAATGGTGTCCATAATCGAATCTCCTTTTATGCTGGACGTAACGCAAAGCTAACCTCGAGGCGAGTTTGTGGACAGTTCGTCGATCTGTGGCTGTATCTTCTGTAGAATATGACATACGTTGTGCTGTCCGTCGAAGAAATATGAGTCCTGTTAAGAGTTCTAAAATGGAGGATTTTATCGAGCTATGGCAGCCACTATGGTCGTCCAGAAAGTCCTCACAACCGATAAAAGACAATCAGAAAAACGTGCGCGGTGTCCACCGGCAGCTTATCTAACCTCCGTCGACAAAGCTGACCGGCCGCGTCGACTTTTGCTCGTACTTCAGACCAGGTTTTTCATCTTAGGTTAGGTGGGTTTGCACTGGTCCAGTTGAATGCGGGCAAATAACCGTCGTTGATTCCGAAGTTCCCCGGAAGATCGATCCTGTCCATATACCTAGCATCTCTCAGGACGTCGAATCGGGGTTTCTCTTGGGAGGTTATCTAACAAGTTTTCCGATGCGATGTCCGATTCTCGATCATAAGCGAAACGAGCGATATGAGACCACCTCAATGTCGCTGTTGGACGACACGTCTGGGAATGTTGAGAATATTCGTCATCGTGCGTACGAGCCAAACCCGAGATATTCCTCACAATTCGAAGGTTCCCTTGAATGAGGAACGGTGATTTTGCGCCATCTTCGGACAAATACATGCCCTGTCCTTTTATGTGGCGAAGGGACGAGGCTCCAACGCCTAAAGCATTCCAAGTGAACGTCGGATCACATCGGCCTTCCAGAATCACATCGGGAACCGATAAAACAGCGGAAAAGCCAAACGAAGTCGGAGTTCACCTGAGATCTCAGCACTGTCTAGTCCTCTAATCCATTTATTTAAATTTGTTTAGAATCCGGCGGATATGAGAACAAAGAACAAGCGATGGTCAACAATATATATATATTGGACTCAACAAATTGATCAATAAAGAATATCCTCGAAAAAAGAAACCCTCTATGATCGAGTCAACGAGGTTGTCTCTGACTATAAAAGTTTATCAATGTTCTCCGAAAACAGAAACTAAAACAGTTGTTAACACCTTTGCAAGGAGGAAAATTATGGGCAATTACGATAGAATAAATAATTTTTTCCTTTACAGTGTTAAAAAAAATGGGACGATTCCAAAACAGTCAAATAACTATATTTATTGTAAATAAACCGAAACAGAACAAATGCGAACACAAAGACAAAAAACAAAAAAGGCGGTCATCAAAAAGAATAGAAAAAAAATAGGTGGGTCAAAAAAAGAAAGCCAAACAAAAAATAAACCTTTCACCAAAACAAAATTTTTACAAATATTCTTACCTCAAAACTCTGAAAAGGAAATAAAACAGTTGTTAATTATAAAAAGGTTTATAAACAAACTGCCGTGCAAAAGGCAAATATTTAAGCGTAGTGAAACAATATGTAATTTGAGACACGCCAAAGATGGTCACCAACACGCTGTGGTCCAATGCAATCAAAGTCTCACAGATGTTGGTCGCCTTTTGTTCTGTTTATATAGGTAGTCATTGAATTAGGAATCTGCGGGGAAAAATCATTCTCCAGATGCAGAGAATCTGATTGGTCGAACTGACCAATCAGTGCCTGAGATTTGGAGAGACTTCTGGGAGCCGGTTCTCCCAAAAGTGCACAAAATTTACTATATGAAAATATAGCGATTTTAAAATCGTTTATCGTTTCAGATAGCAGCGTTGCTTTCTGTCCAATGAATGAATGCTGTTAAAGATTTGAATTTGTAAGGGCGTATGTGTGTGTGATGAAGATCGCCATAAGTTGCTAACTTGGATAGCAACTCAAATACGTGTGCCCAGTAAAATACGTATATCCACAAAAAATATTTATACGTTTATATTAACAAGAAATATATGTGTGTATTCAGGAAGTATATTTAAAAATACTTCATAAATTACTTTTCTGTTAACTTGGAGCACATTAGTGAGCCCAAGGAGACCGGTCGAGGAACACTGCTCTAGACCAGGCACGGGCAACCTTTTTCGAGCAGTGGATCACGTGATCTATGGCTCACCACAAGGCGGGCCGCATTATTAAAAAGATTCAAAGTAATTTTTCGTTGTAGGTACAGAAAACCATATGAGTAAGTATACACCTTAGAAATGATAGGAAAGTTTTATTTTTTAGAAAATATTTTTTTTATAATTAATTCGAAGTCTTGGTATAAAGTTTGATTATCTGATGTCGCTGTATAGGATTTATTTCTAATTTATTCATTTGAAAACGAAAACAATTCACCTCTAGAGAAAAAATGTTATGAACAACTTCTTTAGAACAACAAGGAAACCTGTTTCAAAAGCAAAAGATGTTTACACGTATAATCTATACTAGTGAAAATTGCTAAAATACTGACAACGTTAGTTCTCCGCAAGTTTACAAAATTCAAGAAACATTGGACTTAATCATTGTTTATGTATGTGGTTATGTATGAAACAGTGTGTGAGTGAACAAGTGAGAAGGAAACAAAAAAAAATTTTAAGAAACGGTATTTTGCTTATGAATTTAAACGTACCATTCAGAAAGACCAAACGGGCCGGATGTGGCTCGCGGGCCGTACTTTGCCTATGACTGCCTTAGGCCGACAGAAATGCTTGTTAATTTATTTCTGTAAATCTTTCAATCCTGCTGCTACTAAATTCTCCTAACTTTTAGTTAATAAAAAGTTGGCAACTATTCCATTTGGTTTTATTTTTCGGCATTGTTTAACTTTTGTTCTCACAAAAAAGATGTGTCAAAAGGACGGTTATTCTCTTGACACCGCTATTACTGTATACACTTTTGACTCCCTCGGCAATGTTTACAAAATTATAAAAAAAAATATGTAAACCAAGTACAATGCGATATTTTATAAAGATTTATTATTGACCGAGAAACGTCGTAATATCTGGCAACACAAGGTGCTACATCTGACCCTCAGTGCCGGCGCGTCTTACCCCTGAAACCCCCAACCTTGGGGGGGGGGGTTAGGGCCCGGTTGTGGCCTCTGCCATTTTTTTCAGTACTGTTTTATGGCCATCCGCCATTTTTAAAATTATTTTTAAACTGATATTACATTATCAGTCCTCAACTAATAATATACATCGTGTATCTGTATGGCCGGTGCGGTGCGTACTACGCAGGAAGCTCCGATATAGTTAGAGCCCCAAACGGGCTAGTTTCAGCATTGTTTGTTTGCTTTTTGTACCTTTTTTTTTCTACCTAAGTTATATTGTCAATCATCAACTATAATAACCAACAGGGCCGATTCTTACTACCCCGAACCTCTCAACCGCATCAGGGTTCCAGAAGTGCTAATTGCAGGAACGCTTATTTTTTCAAAATTAATTTTATTTCTGAACGGTTCTTTTAAATCAATTGTTGTGGATTCCGGGAATGGAATCCTGCACAAATAAATAAACAACGCCAGTAATTGAGATAGAAAAATAAGTGTATTAAACGTAAGAATATAGACTTGAAGTGAAGATTAGTAGTCCAGGAATGCGGGTTAGTAGAAAGTATATGTATAAGTCTCTGTAAGTAAAGCCGTAATCATCTCTCTCTCTGGACTCTTGTATAACTCTCTGAGAACACCCTGTGTCTGGCTCCGTATCTCTCAACCTGTCTCAACGTATCTCATCTGAAGGTATTCTCTCTGTCAGTATAAGTATACTTTGGACGAGTCCATCTTATGTAAAAAGGGGAGAGCCCCACAACATCAGTTA